GACAATTCATTCATTTCTCTATTCACCTGACTAAGCTGATAGAAATTGATATTCATTTCGTAATGACCGCCAGAACTCCTCATGGAACCCACTTTCGGGCTACTGCTGGTTCCGATCTCGGATAAAGGAGCAGGGTTGGGCGAAAAAAAATCATAAATGACTAATTATTTTTAGACTACTATATACACCGACACATATACTCTGACATTGTTCACATCATTAGTTCTGATAGGAAACCTAAACGCCAATGTTAGAATGGACAACACCGAATAGGAAGACACTATGAAGCGATATAGACTGGAATAAATGAATGAAGACTTTATCAGTGGTGACATGCGTAAGTATTGTGTATTGGTTATTAAGTAATGCTAGATCAGCTGGAGTTAACATGTTCAAAAAATCTCTGCTTCATCTCGCTAGTTCTTATCCTAAAATATGTCTGCATTAAACGATTGCAGGAAATAAATTCATTCCACCTAATTCGGATTTGGTTTTTAATTACAAATGTTGCACAAACGCGCTTAGCACAAGTGTAATATATGGAAGATTCGAATGCATTGTCCATTCATTTATAACGTTGAACTTCGTACATGAGTGCCTAATTTCAGGTTGCCATACCGCATCAGCACAGAAACGTAACTGTCAGTATGAATCCCATAGTGGTAGAGATAGTAGTAGTATTAGCAGTAATGAGGAAAATTAGGGTTCGAAAGTAAGATTTGAGAAGCAAAATTCAGTGATATAACCTTAGAAAGAAAAAGATAGTGGTGATGAGGATTTTAGAAGTTTAGGATTTGTGAGAACACAATGAATAAATGCAACTGCGCAATTGCAAACGACTTTTAGCTATGTCGTTCAAGGTCTCTAACGATCGGTTTCTATTGTCTCGCGAACCCCAACCAGGTTTTCTACACCTACAGATATGACTCAGTCCACTTATCAGTTACTTCATGGATTTGTGCCATGTTTTGATTTGGCCGCCACTAGCTTTCTTCCAACCTACTCCTACACTGAAAAACATAGCTTGTCGAGTCAGTCGGTGGTCGGGCATACGGAACACATGTCCCAACCACCTCAACTGATGAAGTGTCAATACTTCATCTATTTATTCGTAATCTTTACCTAGGACCCGTTTCCTAACAACAGCATTACTTGCTCGGTTGTCCTACGATACACGAGCAATGCATCGGAGACACCTATGATCGAAAACCAGCAACCTACGAATATCCTCTACTCATACTGGCCATGTTTCGCATTCATATAGTCGGACGGAGCGAACTACTGCACAGTACACTCGTCCTTCGGTTAGCGTACATGAATCGGTCAACACTCTCGACTACTTCAATCCATATCACTAGTTCAGGTGCCAATCTTAAAGCAACATTTTGAATTTTGACGGAGAGAATCGAATCCCGAACATACTTGCCTTGTTGCTTAGGGTGGTCAGAAGTCTCTGTATTTTGTCAGCGTCTTTACCGAATAGAACTATGTCATCAGCCTACTCCAAGTCAGCAAGCGTGTCTCCTGGTAGAAGGTTCACTCCTGAAAAGTCGGACTAGGATAATCTTAAGTGTAAAAGCATATCTGCGACAAAGTTAGACAAGAATGGAGAGAGTGGACATCCCTGACGGACACCACTTCAATGAGCCAATTCCGATAACAGTTCGCCACAAGCTCTCAGTCGACCTGTATAAGGTTAATGTACTTCTCTGGTAAACCTTTCAACGACAGGCACTGCCACAGAACCTCGCGATCAACGGAGTGAAATTCTGTTTAAGGTTGAGAAATACTACGATTGTAGGGCATCTGAAGGTGTGTCTATGTTCTAGAACCTGACGTAGTGTGAATATTTGGTCCATACATCCATGCCATGGTCGAAAACCAGCCTGGTTTTCTCTCGTCTGCTCTTCACGAGCTCTAACTGAGCGCCGGAGTATTGTTAAGGTCAATATTTTAGTTACTATATTAGTTAGACCTATTCCCCTGTGATTGTAACAATAGGACTTCTGTCCTTTCTTATAAATTGGGAAAATCAGGGATTGAGACCAGTCGTATGGGATTAGGTCCAGTTCCAAAATTCTGCTTAAGATCTCAGTCAATCTAGCTGCTAAAACTGAACCACCATCCTTAAAATTTTCAGGTGTGTACCTATCAGGACCCGCCGCTCTCCCTCGCATCAGATTTCCTATAGCCTTCATAAATTCTCGGAGGACCTATAACAATTTGCCATTCAGGATGACTGGATATCGTTTGCAATCGAGGTGTGGCAGAAGGCCAGTTGAACTGATCCCTCAAGTGTTCTGCCCTCTGATTCGATCTCCTGGATTGAGAATAAATGATAGAAACATCATTTTCTGAGAAAATTCCGCTAACAGATGGATTTGTAATAACGGTTTCCTTGATAAGTCGAAAAAACTCTATACTCTTACCTATCGCCGCTACCTTTTGCATAGCTCTTGCTTTCGCTGTTCGCGATCATTGCGTAGGACTTGTCTTTTGAATTCATTTAAATTTGGAGTGACAACATTGAACACTTAAAAGATTTTTAGGTGTGATTTACTATTTGTATACATTGATTCTTTGATAAAGTAATAGCCAACTGACGGTGCCTTCAACAAACCAATCAGAATTACGATAGCGCTTCATATATTCTACTCGAAATTTTAAGTGCATTGTTAGATATAACCTGTATAATATTATTAACGACGCTGAAAATAGAAATTTCTATTTTTTGAAACTGAAAAGTGAATGAAAGATGGAAATTAAGTTAAGGTATAAAAATGCCCTCGCGGCAAATTGTGCTTTAAAGTACTTACTATGCGTTGTCGTGAGTGTTCAGTGAAACTAGATGCAATGTCCCCTTTTTCAACTGTCAACTCTAAGTCTCTTAAATTTGTAAATTGTAGAACAACAACGCATTACATCATAGCTGATGATTGGTCATGACGAGAACCCTAACCCTAATTTGTAAAACCAAACTCAGAACACCAGCTGAACTTTTAATACCCAACTGTAACTGTTTTGAATCACAATTGGTTTCAGTTAGAGACGAAGACTGTGGGGCAATAACCTTGGCTCGTAACACCTCTACCTTCAACGACAAGGAATAATTCAACCGGTATGGATGCAAATTATTAAAAAGATCAAAAGTATAATTCCGTCTAAATTTTAATGGCTTCTCATTGTTGGTCGTTTTAAAATTAATTCCAGTTTTTTGATTGACAGCTCGAGGTGGTCAGCATATTATATTTCTACTTACTACCAGGAGATCCGCTTGTCAACTTGGAATATGGCGAAGACATATTTCTATTCGGTGAAGGCGCTGACAAAATGCAGAGTATTCTGACCGCCCTAAGCAACAATACAAGCATGTTTGGGATGCGGTTTTCCATCTGGAAATGCAAAATGTTGCTTCAAGTTTGGGTTGCATCAGCACCTGGACTATTGATAAGGAGTGAAATAGTCGAATGTGTAGACATCTTCACTTAACTCGAGAATCCGATCAGTGCTGGTGGCCTGGTATCTGACGAAATCACAGAACGGATACAGAAGGCTCGATTGAGTTTGCCAACCTGCGTCACTTATGGCGAAGGCGAGATATCCGTTTGCTAACCGAAGGACGAGTGTACTGTGCAGTAGTTCGCTCCGTCCGACTATATGAATGCGAAACATGGCCAGTATGAGTAGAGGATATTCGTAGGTTGCTGGTTTTCGATCATAGGTGTCTCCGATGCATTGCTCGTGTATCGTAGGACAACCGAGCAAGTAATGCTGTTGTTAGGAAACGGGTCCTAGGTAAAGATTACGAATAAATAGATGAAGTATTGACACTTCATCAGTTGAGGTGGTTGGGACATGTGTTCCGTATGCCCGACCACCGACTGACTCGACAAGCTATGTTTTTCAGTGTAGGAGTAGGTTGGAAGAAAGCTAGTGGCGGCCAAATCAAAACATGGCACAAATCCATGAAGTAACTGATAAGTGGACTGAGTCATATCTGTAGGTGTAGAAAACCTGGTTGGGGTTCGCGAGACAATAGAAACCGATCGTTAGAGACCTTGAACGACATAGCTAAAAGTCGTTTGCAATTGCGCAGTTGCATTTATTCATTGTGTTCTCACAAATCCTAATTATCTGGATTCTTCATCACCTTCATCTTTCTATTTTTAAGTTGATTTCGTTAAATTCTACTTCCTGAATAATATCTTCAAAGCCTAATCTCTCTGATTACCACTAATACTTCTACTACAATGGGATGCGAATAGATGATTGCGTTTGTTTGCTAATATGTTATGATAACCTGAACTGATGTAAGTACCAGTTAAAACATTATTCAGATGATCAATGCCCAATTTTTAATAAATATTGATATAAATTTCGCTAACGGTAATAATTGAAGCAAAGAAGCACTGAAATATTTATGCGTTATATAAATTATTGAATTTGTAAGTGAGCTGATGACGAAATTGAGGCACATGATTTTCTTGTGGAGGGCCACCTATCCAATGTTTCGAATTTGAAATATATCCACAAGGCAGTGTGGAGCAACGTCAGTAATTGCAATCACATGGTTGTTGATGACAATTCGATCACTGAGGATCCTGAATCCGTCGGAGCATACCACTGGTTTAAATTTTAGGTTTCTCAACTACTCTTAGTCAGTCAGTTACAATGTAAAACATCATGCGTGTGTACATAAGTTCAGGTTGCCACACCGCATCAGCACGGAGACTCGATTGACACTTTGAATCCCATAGTAATAGAGATAGTACAAGTATGAGTGGTATTGGAGAAGATCAGGGTTTGAAAATAATTTTCAAAAGTATAATTCAGCGAAATAAATTTATGCATTGAAATCCTCAATCAATCATTATTAGACCACCTTCAGAAACTATAAACCATCGTTCTCAAGATACAGGTGGTGTTTAACACTTGTCTACACAGGATACTGCAGATCCCTTGGTCAGATAACAACAGCGACAACCTACTGTGTCACAGAACAAACACCAGATTCCATATGAGGAAGAAATTAGGAAAAACCGAAGGAGGTGGATGAGATACACATTATGGAATGCACTCAACAGCATCAAAAGGCAGGTAATAACTTGGGATGCTTAACGCCGAAGGAGAAGAGGTACACCAAATAACACATAACGTCGAGAACTGGAAGTAGATACGGAAAGAATGAACAGCAATCGCATCGAACTGGAAAGGAAGTAAATTATTCTCATACACAATACATCACGCTCGAGTATTTGGACACATTAATTCAACTAGATACGGTTTCATGAAGATATTAACATATTTGACTAACTTTTCTAGTGCTAACATTTGCTGCTTTTGATGTTGGTAGTGATACATTTGTGCTGATTGTGCAAGTTTACGATCATTCTCCGAACTAAGTGATAATAGTTTATTTGGTGAATTTGAATTCTCCAGTATAAATTCTTCATCTTGATTTAATTGGGATTGTTTCCATAGTTTACGTCTAGATTGAAATGGAGAAAGAGAACAGATCACAACAGTTATTACTGGTGAGTCGATACTTACTTATTTACTGACTTACTTACGCCTGTTACCCCCGATGGAGCATAGGCCGCCCACCAGTTTTCTCCAACCAACTCTGTCCTGGACTTCCTTTTCTAGTTCTTTCCAGTTTTTGTTCATTCTTCTCCTGTCTTTCTCTATTTCTTGGCGTCATGTGTTGTTTGGCCTTCATCATTTCCTTTTACCTTGAGGGTTCCATGTGAGGGCTTGTCTTTTGACGTAGTTTGGTGCTTTGCGCAATGTGTGTCCTACCCACTTACACCGCTTCTGCCTGATTTCCTCCTCCACTCGTCGATGATGCTGCCAAGATATGTAAAGGTTTTAACATACTCCAAAGAATCTTCATCAAGAGTGATTTGGTTGGCGCATGTTGTGTTGTATCGTAGAATCTAGCTTTTCCCCTTGATGTATGTTGAGACCTACTGCTGCTGAGGCTACTGCTACACTAGTAGTCTTCTCTTGCATTTGTTGTTGTGTGGGCGATAGAAGAGCCAGGACATCTGCAAAGTCCAGATCGTCCAGATGCGTCCTAACTGTCCGGTTGATACCGTGCTTTCCTCCAGATGTCGACGTCTTCATAATCCAGTCGATGACCAGGAGAAAGAGAAAGGGTGAGAGTAAGCACCCTTGCCTCACACCGGTCTTCATCTCGAAAGTGTCTGTTAGCTGTCCTTCGTGTACGATTTTGCAGTTGAATCCATCATAAGAACTCCGTATGATGTTAACTATTTTCTCAGGAACACCGTAGTGTCGAAGAAGCCTCCACAGTATTTTCCTGTCCACGTTATCGAATGCTTTCTCGTAGTCAATGAAGTTGATGTAGAGTGGTGAGTTCCATTCAATTGATTGTTCAACAATGATCCGTAATGTTGCAATTTGGTCAGTACACGATCGACCCTTACGAAATCGAGCCTGTTGATCTCGAAGTTGGGCGTCTACGAAGTCCTTCATTCTGTTTAACGATACCCTATTGAAGACTTTGCCTGGTATTGAAAGAAGAGTGATGCCTCTGTAGTTCTCACATTTGTTGGGATCGCCTATCTTTGGTATTTTGCTCAGGTATCCTTCATCCAATCTGATGGTACTTGTTCACCATCCCAAATCTTTTTGAAGAGAATGTGGAATATCTTTGCAGTTGCTACCAAGTCTGCTTTCATTGCCTCTACTGAAATGTTGTCTGGTCACCCTGCTTTGCTGCTCTTCATTTGCCTGATGGACACGCTAATCTCTTCAATTGTAGGTGGGCCAATATTAATTGGGAGGTCCGTGGATGCTGCTCTACCCACCTATTTCGCTGTTCTTCAGTGTTGCTGATTACTTTCCCTCCCTTGCTTTTCACTGGTCGTTCTGGTTTACGATAGTTTCCGGCGAGGTCCTTTGTTGTTTCGTACAATTGTCTCAAGTTTCCGTCTCTTGCAGCCTTTTCTGCCGTCATTGCTGGATCTTCCACATATTTTCGTTTGTCAGCTCTGATGCTCTTCTTCACTTCCCTGTTTGCTTCTGTGTACGCAGCTTGTGCGGTAACTTTCTCCTCTCTTGTTCGGCTGACATTGATTGCTGCCTTCTTGTTCCTCCTTTCTTCAATTTTTTCAAGAGTACCAACAGAGATCCATTCCTTATGATGGTACTTCTTGTGACCCAGAACCTCGTGACATGTTGAAGTGATTGCCTCCTTAATCCCTTTCCAATTGTTCTCCAATGTTGCTTCCTCTCCATTGAGTAGATCCTGAAAGGCCTGGAACCTATTGGTGAGGGCTATCTTGAATTCGTTGAGTTTTACGGTATCCCGAAGAAAGGCTGTATTAAACTTGTGTGATGTTGTCTGCCCTGTTGTCCAGAGCTTACTTAGTTTCAGTTTCATTTTTGCGACCAGCAAGTGGTGATCTGAGGCTATATCAGCTCCTCTCTTGGTTCTCACACCCTCCATGGTCCTTCTGAACGTTTTGTTGATACAGATATGGTCAATTTGGTTTTGAGTAGTGTGGTCCGGTGAAATCCATGTGGCTTTGTGAATGCGTTTGTGCGGGAATATTGTGCCACCGATGACCAGTTTGTTGAAGGCACATAGGTTTGCAAATCTCTCACCGTTTTCGTTTCTTTCTCCCAATCCATGTCGTCCCATGATGTCTTCATATCCAGTGTTGTCCATTCCAACCTTGGCATTTAGGTCTCCCATAAGAATCGTCAAATCCTTTGATGAGCATCTGTCGACAATCGACTGCAGCCTTTCGTAGAATTGATCTTTAACGTCGTCATTGTAGTCATTGGTAGGTGCATAGCATTGGATGACGTTTATTTTAATGTCCTCGTTCTTTGTTTTGAAGGATGCTGTGATGATCCTGGATTCATGAGATTCCCATCCTATCAGTGCCTTTTGTGCATGTTTGGACAGCATCAGTGCAACTCCTTGTGTATGTGAAGCATTTTCCTCATCATGACCAAAGTATAACGGCAGTTCCCCTGAAGCTAGTCTCAGTTGTCCTACCTGTGTCCAATGCGTTTCACTGATGCCGAGCACCTCGAGGTTGTATCTTTTCATTTGTGCCGCAACTTGAAATAGTCTTCCAGTCTCCCACAGTGTACGAACGTTCCATGTACCTAAAAGAATGGTTGATCTGGTTGTCGGAGTGGGCATCGACCTCATGACTTACGAGGGAACTCGGCTTTCATCACGCGACGGCATAATTGTTCTTCCAACTCCCAGGGTAGAGTTAAAATGGTATGAATTATTTTTTCTGTTTAGCGTTTTTTGGCAAGTTAGTTTTTGACGGGATGGGGTCACCAACTCCATGCCCAACCCTCCTCCTTTATCCGGGCTTATGACCGGCAGTAACCTCGAAGGTTCTGCTGGCGGATCTTTGTGAGTAGATACGTAAGAATAAGTTACAATATCAATCGACATTTTATCAAAAGAAAGTAATGTTAAGTAATTTCGAAGGATAAAATCTATTTTCATTTCACTGATAACGACACATTGAAGAATTCTGTTCACAAATTACTAAAATTATAATAGATAAACGTAATGCTGATGAAATGTTGACTAATAATTAGTGTAGCAGATTTTGACATGATTGATATGAGTTTATTTAAACAAAATGTACATAGCCAATAATTTGCAGGAAAATATATTTGTATATGAATTAATTAGAAGCTGAACAAGCTAACAAGCTAATCAATCTACTCGGAGTAAGTGACAGTCATTTCCTATCAATTTAGAATTCTAATGTTGTCAGTAATTTGGATGGTAGTATTTTGTATTTATGGTTCACACAATGTCTAGTTTCATACTTTACAAATTACTGCACTTCTTATCGGATAATAAACAATGAATAACTTTCAATTTAATCATCCAAGATTTTTTATTTTCTTAGCTAATAGAATAAACATTTCATTAGAGATAAATGTGATTTTATCGTTAAACTGTCTAGAGGTAGTTGGACAAGTTTTATTTCTAAATGTGTACGATGTGATAAGCTAGTCAACATCTCATTCTAATGATATTACATTATCCGTATATATAAATATCTAACTACATTTAAACAACGTGTAACAATATTCTGTATGTAAATTTGGAAACATATTAAAACCCACAACTAGTCATGTAAATTCAATGAGTATTTAGTGAACAATTGTAGTAAACATAAATTTCACAACATAAGTTTTTATTTCATGTTGCAATTCTTACCTCTGATAAGCTGTGCCTATTGCTGCGATCATCAATACACCCAATGCTGCACATACTGAACCAATAACTAGAAAGTAAATTTAGAACATAACAGTAATAATAATAATAATAATAATAATAATAATAATAGTGATAACACAATAAGAAACTGGAATTTATGATAATTTTTGATCAATAATGTCATGTAAACTGGGTCAATAAACACTCATTAAATATTAAGCTAACACTGTTACGCCTTCATGCATGTTTAGTAAGTCTCTAATCAACTGTATATTATTGTATCGATTCTCACATTCTAACTCTGTGCAAGTTAGTTGGATTTCGTTAAGTAAATTAGGTCATCTAAATGATGAATCTTCGTTTGTACTTATTCAAGTGTGTATTGTTTATCAAGTGAAACATGTACTACTTATTAACTCAGTTTATTAAACTTGATTTCTCTATGAACACTCTGAAAATGCAGTGAAACTAGTGTCAGTCGACACCTTATCAGTCAAAATTAGTTTCGCTTACGATAACTAATCAGGACAAAACTACACCTTTCGTTCATACTTTACTTGATCTAACCAATATTTATCAGTTAATTTATTGACTCGGAGAAGAGTTGTTCACAAACGCTTAGTGTAATTTACATCGCAGACCGATATACAATCTCAGATTCATTTTGGAAGAGATATGATGTTTGTGTTAGTTCTAGTAATGTTGGTCTATCAACTTGTCTTACAAGATGTGATTCAGCTTACAGTTTAGGCGTCGATAAACTAAACAGTCAGCAGTACTAGTCCTTAGAACGTCAAGCTGCAACTAACTGAATCGCCAGTCCCACTTTGATGGGATAACGATAAAGGTTATCGAGATCATGTGAGTGTGTGTGTTTGTGTGAC